GCTGCGGCTGCGCTCCACTCACTGCTCGCAGGAGGAGCAGCCACTGCAGCAGCGCTGACACCGCCACCGACGCCTGGCCGGGCACGGGCAGCCTCCGCACGCCAACGCCATCCCCTTCCCCCTTTTTTTCCAGAGCTGGGGGAGGGGGAGGTTTTAAAAGGGGGTCTTGCATTGGCGATCCTGCAGCACTTTGGGCCGCACGACGCGAGCGCGCAGCACGGATCAGCCACGACCCCACCCCGTGCATTTCCCGGGGAAAAGTGCTCCACGTGGGAGGCACGTTTCCCCTTCATTCCCTCTCGTGCAAATCCTCCTTGGGTTCCCTCCCCCGTCTTTCCTCTCCCTACCTCACAAAAGCCTCACCTCGTCGCCTCCTCGCTGCCTCTCGCCTCCGCAGGAGCGTTTCCCTCCGCGGAAGAAGGAGCAGGGCGCTTTTGCAACTTTGCCTTCCCCGCCCCACCACGGAGCACATTTTCCTCGCCCCCCCAACCCCCGCATGTAGAATAGAAGCCCTCCAGCCTCCACGGTGCACAAACTCTCCCCTCTGCAACGAAGCGCTTTGTTGCATATCTTTGGTGAGGTTTTTAGGCAGTCTTGGTGCACCTTAAATCAGCGCTAATTGCGCCTGGACGCAGTATTTACTTCTGAGTAGGCCCCCTTCTCTCCCCCCCCGTAGCACCTGACGTTGCTATTCGTATCATCAGGTTTGTTTGTTGATAATTTAATTGTTTTAAAAGCATCATGCTAAAGAGCTCTCTCCCACCCCCAGACCCTTGGGCAAAACAGAAACACACACATACACAAACACAGAGATTGAGCCCTGCAGGTTTTATGAAATGAATGGATTCTGAATGCCTGTTTCAGTGGCTTGTCTGCCTTAGGCTGCTGGGCCAGACACCTGTTACATGGTGCAGTCCGTAAGCTGTGAGCGCTGCTACCTGCCGCCGAGACCACGTAACGACAGTCTTGAAAGACCTACATTGGCTCCCAGTACCTTTCCGAGCACAATTCAAAGTGTTGGTGCTGACCTTTAAAGCCCTAAGCGGTTTCGGTCCAGTATACCTGAAGTAGCGTCTCCGCCACCATCGTTCAGCCCAGACACTGAGATCCAGTGCCAAGGGCCTTCTGGCAATTCCCTCACTGTGAAAAGTGAGGTTACAGGGAACCAGGCAGAGGGCCTTCTCGGTAGTGGCGCCCGCCCTGTGGAATGCCCTCCCATCAGACATCAAAGAGATAACCATTACCTTCTATGCTGTTACTATTTTTTTATTATTTTTTTTTACATAAGTAAAAAGTGACCTTTCCCCATCTGGCATGGTGGTGTGCCTCGAGATTTTTTTCATGAAACAAGTGTGCCTTTGCCCAAAAAAAGGTTGGGAAACACTGGAGTAGAATTTCCTGATTACTGTAATTGGAACCCAGCAGTTTCACACAGGAGCTATTGTAACAACAACAACAAATATTTTTATATATTTGCCCCTGACAGGACTCAAGGCAATTTACAGATTCATCTCATAATCCTGGGTGACTACAAAATATAGAGTTAGGGAGAAAGAGATTTGGCAGCCTGACTGATTCACTGCCACTGACAAGCCACATGTGGAGAGAACTAATTTGCTGGAAATGTTTGGATATGGAGGTTTTTCACTCCTTGCAGTTCAGCTCCTGAGGGCCAAGTTGTTGTTGGTGGTGGTTCTATTATTCCTCCATTAACTGCCCTGCTGGATATAAACCTGCCTCATTCCTGGGTTAAGTACTCCTTCACATAATGGCTATGCATTGGCCTGTCTGAAGACCCCAGATCTTCTGGCTGTAGAGATTACTTAAATAACAAAAGAGAACTGCTGAAAGGTAAGACAAACTAAGCAGAAAAGGATGGTGTCTTCCTCCTTATTGTTCTGTGCTCTTCATAAAACATTTCAGGGTCACCTCAAGAAGCAGCCATTAGCGAGTTTTTAAAACTTCCCTTTTGCAACCTGAGGCTCTGGATTAATTTTGATACTGTCTTTAAGTATCAGGGGCCAGGGAGAAAGTGTAGAAACTTTAGGCTCAAGTTCTCCAGATTTGCCCAGGATTTCTTTATCCTGTTGGCTTTAGGTCCTATTCGTGGTAGTAAATAAGCACCTTTGTTTTGCCTCCGTCATGCATTCTGGGAATGTTTAAATATATATATACTGGTAACTTCAGGCAAGTTGCTAGAGGTTTTCCACCCCCTCCTTCAGGAATGTAGAAAAAAATCTAATCTCATCTAGTTCACTACATTGGTACCTCAGGTTAAGTACTTGATTTGTTCCAGAGGTCCGTACTTAACCTGAAACTGTTCTTAACCTGAAGCACCACTTTAGCTAATGGGGCTTACTGCTGCTGCCGTGCCGCCGGAGCACAATTTCTGTTCTCATCCTGAAGCAAAGTTCTTAATCTGAAACACTGTTTCTGGGTTAGCGGTGTCTATAACCTGAAGCGTATGTAACCTGAAGCGTATGTAACCTGAGGTACCACTGTATTCTGTTCCCTCCTCTGCCAGCTACAGAATTCAGGGAAGACCTCGCCAACCAGAGTCCCCTGGGAAGAGGGATTGATTGTTAAACCGCTCTGGGAATTGTAGGTTTGTGAAGGGCTCCAAACAGCTCTCAGCACCCTTCACACGCTACAGTTCCCTGGGGAAAGTTATGACTCTTTAAAGTGGCATTGTACTGCTCTAACTGTAGAGTGCAGATGGGCCTTTAGTGGCAGAGTGTATGCTAGGGTTGCTAGGTTGGGATTTGGCCATTCGGAATCACTGAAAAAAGGCTGAACAAATTTGGACAACAAAACTTTGCCTGGAAAAGCTCAACATTTGTGTCCGGATTTTTCATTTTTCTGAAATGTTGCAACACTAGCACATGCTCTGCAGACAGAAGGTCCCAAATTTGATCCTAGGTTTCTCCAGGGAAAAGGATCAAGTACCAAGCAATAAGAGAGGCCTCAGGGGGAGACTCTGGAGATCTGACCCAGGGATGGGGGAACCTGTGTGGACCTCCAGGTGTTGCTGGACTACAGCTGCCAATAATCCCCGACAGTTGACCACAGCTAATGAGCGTTGGAGGCGATCAACGTCTGGAGGGCCACCAGAATGTGACATCTGCCACATTCTCATGAGCAACTGGTGTAATGCATTTCTCTGAGAATGCTGTTGTAGACCAGGCACCCCCAACCTTCAGCCCTCCAGATGTTTTGGACTACAATTCCCATCATCCCTGACCACTGGTCCTGTTAGCTAGGGATGATGGGAGTGGTAGGCCAAAACATCTGGAGGGCTGCAGGTTGGGTATGCCTGCTCTAGACCCACAGCAGAGGGTGGAGTGGGGCTTGTTATTTCACTCTATTTTTTCTTATTATCTCCTCTGACATTCCTCTCTCTCATTCTGAAAGCTCAGTTAAGAAGAAGAAGAAGAGTTTGGATTTGATATCCCGCCTTTCACTCCCTTTAAGGAGTCTCAAAGCGGCTAACATTGTCCTTTCCCTTCCTCCCCCACAACAAACACTCTGTGAGGTGAGTGAGGCTGAGAGACTTCAAAGAAGTGTGACTGGCCCAAGGTCACCCAGCAGCTGCAGGTGGAGGAGCGGAGATGCGAACCCGGTTCCCCAGATTACGAGACTACGGCTCTTAACCACTACACCACACTGAATAAAACATTTGGAAGGCCGTGAGTTCCTCATCTCTGGAGTTCATAATACTGGGCTAAATGGACAAACCATCTAACCTAGCATAAAGCTTATGTGTAATTCATCACTTTTACAGTGTTTTGTATGTGTTTATATCAATAAATTTTTTACATTAAAAAGCAGTTTTTGACACTTAAAAGGATTTGCATTAAAAATTTTTGACTGCTTTGTAAAATTTTAATTTTTAAAAAATCTAACCTTAAAAGAAGCTTGTGTGTGGCAGTGGCTACACAGGCATGATTGAGTTTATACTACTGCTCTGCCTCTTGAGTGGCTGGGGAAGCCCAGCCAGATGGACGGGGTATAAATAATAAATTATTATTATTTTTTATTATTATTATTATTATGAAGGTTGAACCATGTTCCACTCAGCCTCCTTTTCACTGATGGCTCCATGACATGTGGCCTTTTCAGCAAACAGGTAAAAATACTTGCTTTATGCTCCCAGGCTTCTAAATAAACATTTTAGGATGTATTTGATCTTTTACGCCACTGATATCCACAGCAGTTTTTTATTCTGCTTTAGCTATTACAGTCATATCTCAGAAGTTGAACAGAATCTGTTCTGGAAGTCCATTCAACTTCCAAAACATTTGACTTCCAAGGCGCAGCTTCCAATTGGATGCAGGAGCTTCCTGCAGCCAATCGGAAGCCCCGGAAGCCCTGCCGGATGTTCGGCTTCCAAAGAACATTCGCAAACCGGAACACTCACTTCTGGGTTTGTGGCATTCAGGAGCCAAAACATCTGACTGCTAAGGCGTTCGTCAACCAAGGTATGACTATATTTTCCATGTCACGGTTATAACATTGTACAGTCAGCTAGAAAACCTCACTGGTTGAGTGGTAAAAAAAATGTAGGAAATAAATAAGTAAAAGCAGACCTGTGAGGGTTATGGCCTGAGGAGAATTCTGAGGGCCAGATAAGGGGACCCAGAGGGCCGCATTCAACCTTGGAATCTGAGGCCTCCCAGCCCCACTGTATACCTCTTAGTACCAAGGACAGATGAGATAGGACTCTTGATAATGGCCAGAATATGAACCTGCTGAGGTGACTGAGCTGCTTTCTCTCAAGACAGAATGTCAACAAAGACTGAGCTGCTTTCTCTCAAGACAGAATGTCAACAAAGAAAGGGCAGGTGTCTGGTTCAATCCAGGAAAAAATCCTGCCTGAAACTCTATACTCATCCAGACAGGTTAATGGTCTGACTTAGCACAAAGTAGCTCCCTAAGTTCCCATGGACCAACAGTATAAACCTGTGATGTATTTTTGTGTGACAGAGGCAAAGACACTGATCTGTATGTAACAGGTTTTTATTCTGGCGGAAATTGCGTTTTCCTACATCCACATGTGTTAAAAGGCCATTAAGGGAGAGCCCATCAGGACTGAATTTCTTGTCCGAAGGGCAGAAGGTGTATGGTCTCACCAAGCTTTGCTCGGTGGCAGATAATGGACTACAACTCCCCATCAGCCCCAGCCAGCATGGCCAATGGTCAGGGGTGATGGAAGTTGTAGTCCACCAAACATCTGGAGGACCAAAGGCCCCCCTCTATCCTTGCTCTAACGCAGGATGTATGAGGTAGGAGAACAAAAACCACACAGGATAAATCCCCAACCTGGAGGCAGGTTGAGGGGGTTGTTTTTTTCAGATACCCTCTTCCCACTTCGGAGGTTATTTGTGCCATGGATAGGGGTGTCTGGTGCAAAAGCGGCAGGGGTTCTTATCAGGAAAATGACATTAAAAAATTTGGACCTAGAGATTTTCAAGAACTAACAACCAGACAACAGCCAGGTCAGGCAAGTTGTGTCACATACAGACAAAGGAGGACGTAGGCTGGATTTAAAAAACAGTCTTACTTTACGTAGGAGCAAAAAAAAATGTCTTTCAGATCAGAATAGTGGTCACAGTGCAGATGGGAGTGGGGGCGGCATTTCTCAGCCCAGAATCCGTTCTCAACGGCTGCATGACGTGAGAGACAAGGTCAGGCCAAAAAAGCCCAGCAGTGGCAGAGCAGGGATCTGTACACCCCTTCCCAGCAGACCTGCCAAAGCAAGCTTGATATTTTGGACGCATCGGAAGGGATGAAAGCGCACAAGGGAGAGCCATTGGAGATAAAGTCGATCTTTCCTCCATCCCTGCCTGCCAAGGCTCAGGAAGGCAAATATCTCTCCATCTTGCCAAGGGGCTTGGCCCATATCGGCTTCCACTGTCCTTTCACCATATAGAGGATTGTGGGGCTCAAACCCCCCCCCCCCGGGTTCCTGGTGCAACTGGGAGAGATGCAAGAAGGGACAAAGCTAGCATAGTTCGGAGTCAGGGCGTGGCTGTCGCAAGAGTTTGCTTGGGAGCCTGATCAAAACAGCAGCCAAAGTTACAGCGCGCAAGTGTGCCGATTGCAGTCTCAGCTTAGGTTGGTCTGTTGCGCCAAGCATGCTCCCTCGGAGCTGACCTCTCCAGGGGAAGGGAGAGGCTGCCCCTCAACCAAACAGCCCAGTTACACAGCTCCCGACTGGTGCTTGTACTTCCTGTGCAAAATGAGCAAGTTCTTGCGCAGGAACATCTGCCCGCAGTCGGCGCAGGTGTACGTCTCCTTCCCGCTGTGCATCTGCCGGTGCACGGCGAGGCTGTGGCTGAACCAGAAGCTCTGCCCACACAGCACGCAAAGGTGGGGACTTTCCCGGCTGTGGGTTCTCCTGTGCTTGTTGAGGTTGGCGCTCGCATAGCAGCGAAAGTCGCACTCGGGGCATTTGAAGGGCTTCTCCCCCGTGTGGATTCGCGTGTGGATGGTCCGGGCATGTGCAGAAGGGAAGCCCTTCCCGCAGTGAGTGCACAGATAGGGCCTCCTCTTGTGTGCGTTCTCATGTCTCACAAGCTGGTCTTGGTTCTCGAAGAACTGGTGACAGTAGCTGCACTCATACCTCGGCTCTGTTTCCTCCGATTTCCACTCCCTGGGAACACCCTTGTCCCAAGATTTATGGCTTTGGGGTTCTGCTGCCATCGGAGTCTGTGGCTCATCACTGCCTCTCTCCTTCTTGCAGATCCGCAGAGATGTGTTACCTGCTTCTCCCGACAGTGTCAGCCGCACTTTGGGCTGCTGGTGGGCATTCTGGAGTTCATCTGCAGGTTGGGCTCTTTCGCAGCTCTGCAAAGGGCTTCTTCCAGGCAAGGGTGACAACTCCGGCAGGTCTTCTTGCCCACCGATGACAACAACATCATATTCTCCTGACGTGCAACTGCCAGAGTCTGAGTTGCCTTTGGGGGAAGCAGCTGTGTGTTGGTTCCTTTGAGGCCCGCTGCAAGGACATTCTGGAGTTCATCTGCAGCCTGGGCTCTTTCACAACTCTGCAGAGGGCTTCTTTCAGGCAAGGGTGACAACTCCTGCAGGTCTTCTTGGCCACCAATGACAACAACATCATAGTCTCCTGACGTGCAACTCCCAGAGTCTGAGTTGCCTTTGGGTGAAGCAGCTGTGTGTTGATTCCTTTGAGGGCCGCTGCAAGTTTCTACCTCCTTACAGGCCTCTAGGGGGCTGGGGTTCCATCTTGGCATTTCCTCCATGTTCTGAAGAGACACATTCTGCCATCTTGGCATTTCCTCCATGTTCTGAAGAGAAACATTCTGGAGTTCATCTGCAGCGTGGGCTCTTTCACAACTCTGCAGAGGGCTTCTTTCAGGCAAGGGTGACAACTCCTGCAGGTCTTCTTGCTCACCGATGATAACAACATCATATTCTCCTGACGTGCAACTCCCAGTTTCCGAGTTGTCTTCGGATTCCCTTTCCAGCCCTTCCCTTGGCCCCTTCTTCAATGCAGCAGCAGTCAACATCTCCAGTGCAGCACTTCTGATAGTCTCTGGTTCGGATTTTGTGGAGAACGTTGTCTGGGATGGCAGGCAGTAGCTCCGTTCTCCTGGTTCACAGCCCTTTGGGGAACTTCTGAGCAAACTGGAGGAAGCAGCTGTGTGTTGGTTCCTTTGAGGGCCGCTGCAAGTTTCTACCTCCTTGCAGGCCTCTGGGGAGCTGGGGTTCCATCTTGGCCACATCTCCATCTTCTGAAGAGACGCATTCTGGAGTTCATCTGCAGGTTGAGCTCTTTCACAACTCTGCAAAGGGCTTCTTCCAGGCAAGGGTGACAACTCCTGCAGGTCTTCTTGCTCAACGATATCAAGGGAATCGCAGTTTACTGTCATGCTACTCCAAGAGTCTGAGTTGCTGTTGGGGGAAGCAGCTGTGTGTTGGTTTCTTTGAGGGCCGCTGCAAGTTTCTACCTCCTTGAAGGCCTCTGGGGAGCTGGGTTCCCATCTTGGCATTTCCTCCATGTTCTGAAGAGACACATTCTGGAGTTCATCTGCAGCGTGGGCTCTTTCACAACTCTGCAAAGGGCTTCTTTCAGGCAAGGGTGACAACTCCGGCAGGTCCTCTTGCCCACCGATGGCAATGGCTTCATATTCTCCTGACGTGCAACTCCCAGTTTCCGAGTTGCCTTCGGATTCCCTTTCCAGCCCTTCCCTTGGCCCCTTCTTCAATGCAGCAGTGATCAACATCTCTAGTGAGGCACTTCTGATAGTTTCTGGTTCGGATTTTGTGGAGAACAATATCTGGGATGGCAAGCACAAGCTGGGTTCTGCTGGTTCGAAGCCCTTTGGGGAACTTCTGAGCAAACTGGAGGAAGCAGCTGTGTGTTGATTCTTTTGAGGCCCGCTGCAAGCTTCTACCTCCTTGCAAGCCCCTGGGGAGCTGGGGTTCCATCTTGGCCATATCTCCATGTTCTGAAGAGACACATTCTGGAGTTCATCTGCAGGTTGGGCTCTTTCGCAGCTCTGCAAAGGGCTTCTTTCAGGCAAGGGTGACAACTCCTGCAGGTCTTCTTGCCCACCGATGGAAACAGCATCATAGTCTCCTGACGTGCAACTCCCAGAGTCTGAGTTGCCTTTGGGGGAAGTAGCTGTATGTTGATTCCTTTGAGGCCCACTGCAAGTTTCTACCTCCTTACAGGACTCTAGGGGGCTGGGGTTCCATCTTGGCATTTCCTCCATGTTCTGAAGAGACACATTCTGGAGTTTATCTGCAGCTTGGGCTCTTTCGCAGCTCTGCAAAGGGCTTCTTTCAGGCAAGGATGACAAGTCCTGCAGGTCTTCTTGCCCACCGATGGCAACAACATCATATTCTCCAGACGTGCAACTCCCAGTTTCCGAGTTGCCGTTGCATTCCCTTTCCAGCACTTTTTTTGGCCCCTTCTTGGATGTAGCAGTGGTCAACATCCCTAGTGTGGCACTTCTGATAGTCTCTGGTTCGGATTTTGTGGAGAACGTTGTCTGTGATGACAGGCAGAAGCTCCATTCTCCTGGTTCGCAGTCCTTTGGGGAACCTCTGAGCAAACTGGAGGATGTAGCTATGTGTTGGTTTCTTTGAGGCCCGCTGCAAGCTTCTACCTCCTTGCAGACCCCTGGGGAGCTGGGGTTCCATCTTGGCATCTCCTCCATGTTCTGAAGAGACGCATTCTGGAGTTCATCTGCAGGTTGGGCTCTTTCGCAGCTCTGCAAAGGGCTTCTTTCAGGCAAGGGTGACAACGCCTGCAGGTCTTCTTCCCCTCTGATGGAAACAGCATCATATTCTCCTGACGTGCAACTCCAAGAGTCTGAGTTGCCTATGGGGGAAGCAGCTGTGTGTTGGTTCCTTTGAGGGCCACTGCAAGTTTCTACCTCCTTACAGGCCTCTGGGGAGCTGGGTTCCCATCTTGTCATCTCCTCCATGTTCTGAAGAGATGCATTCTGGAGTTCATCTGCAGCTTGGGCTCCTTTGCAGCTCTGCAAAGGGCTTCTTCCAGGCAAGGGTGACAACTCCGGCAGGTCTTCTTGCCCAACGATATCAAGGGCATCGCAGTTTACTGTCATGCTACTCCAAGAGTCTGAGTTGCTGTTGGGGGAAGCAGCTGTGTGTTGGTTCCTTTGGGGGCCGCTGCAAGTTTCTACCTCCTTGCAGACCCCTGGGGAGCTGGGGTTCCATCTTGGCATCTCCTCCATGTTCTGAAGAGACGCATTCTGGAGTTCATCTGCAGCTTGGGCTCTTTCGCAACTCTGCAAAGGGCTTCTTTCAGGCAAGGGTGACAACTCCTGCAGGTCTTCTTGCCCACCGATGGAAACAGCATCATATTCTCCTGACGTGCAACTGCCAGAGTCTGAGTTGCCTTTGGGGGAAGCAGCTGTGTGTTGGTTCCTTTGAGGCCCGCTGCAAGTTTCTACCTCCTTGCAGGCCTCTGGGGAGCTGGGGTTCCATCTTGGCCACATCTCCATCTTCTGAAGAGACGCATTCTGGAGTTCATCTGCAGGTTGAGCTCTTTCGCAACTCTGCAAAGGGCTTCTTCCAGGCAAAGGTGACAACTCCTGCAGGTCTTCTTCCCCTCTGATGGCAACAGCATCGCAGTTTCCTGCTGTGCAACTCCCAGTTTCCGAGTTGCCTTTGGGGGAAGCAGCTGTGTCTTGGTTCCTTTGAGGGCTGCTGCAGGTTTTTACCTTCTTGCAGGCCTGCAGGAGGCTGGCTTTCCTTCTTGGCCCTTCCTGCTGACAGAAGCAGGATCTGGCCTGCTCACCAACTAGCTGCATCTTTTGCTTAGATCTCCTCCTTAACATCATGGCCTGTGATCTCAATTGCCACCTGACACAGGCTTTTTCCTGCTTGTTACTCTGGAGACGGGCCCTTTTGGAACAGTGTCTTTGATGGACCTGCTGACCTTTGCTGTGGTCGTCTTGCTTGTAACGCACAGTAACACGGTCTTTTCCTGATAGCTTTCTCTTAGATTCCACTGGCTGGCTGACAGAGACGTTCTCTTCTCTGCAGTTCTGTAAGGAGTTTTGCTGGGATTGTTCGGATAATTCCACTTGCACCTGAACATGCGTTCCTCCCTGCTCAGAAACGTCTAGAATCTCCACCTCAGATGCTTCTGCCAAGGCCGCCAGAGACCGTGTGTTTTCTTCCTCAGTGTCCTGTAATATGTTTCTTTCTACTGTGCTTGATGCTGTCGGTGGCTCAGTGTTTACGGGTAGCTCTCCCGGATTCCTCTCCTCAGGGTGGACGCCATTTGCAGAATTCAAAATGGCACCTTTCCCCTCAGCCCTGAGGAGCTTTTCATGGCATTTCTTGTTCAGCTGGGTTTTCTCATGTCTCTTCAGATGCCACATCTCAACGAACCCTTTCCCACACACACATTTGAAGGGCTTTTCTGCCAAGTGGGTCTTTTGATGCCTGGTGAGGTGATATTTGTAATCAAAGTGTTTCCCACATTTAAAGCATCGCCATAGCACTTTCCTTCTGTGAGGAGTCCCACGCTTCAGGGAGCGGGGATTGTCTGTGGTCACTTTTTGGTCAGCGTCTGAGCGTTTGGAGAGCTTTTTCCTCACATGGCCTCTCTGGTGGGAAGCAAGGTAGTTCTTCTGATAGAAGCTTTTCCCACACTCCAAACATTGGTAAGGCTTCTTTTTTCTCTTGTGGATTCTCTCGTGATCGACGAGCAAACTTTTTGTTCTTGTGTGCTCCCCGCAGTACTGGCATTTGTAGACTTTGCTCTCCGTGTAGGTTTTTAGGTGCTTGGAAAGGCTTAAGCTACGAGCCACGCTGCGAGTGACAATGCCGTCCCTCACGTCCGTATGGGGCTGCAGTTCTGTGTGGATTCTTTCAGATACAGAGCGGCTACTCTTCAACCTGGGCCTTCCGACAGGTTTTTTGTTTTTGTGGGTTGCCTTGTGTTGGAGAAGGTTGTCCTTTCGAGAGAAACGTTTCACACAGTAGGGACATTTATAGGATCTCCCTCTTCTGTGGAGTTTCTCGTGGTTGGTGAGAGGACCACTTCCACTCAGGCATTTGCCACAGTACTGGCATTTATAGACCCGTTCCCCGCCTGGAGTTCTTGTGTGTTGGGAAAGGTTAAAAACATTTGTGACTTTCCCTCCATCCGTTGGGACAGCAGAGAGATTTTCTGCCATGTGGAAGATTCTGGAAGTAGAGGGGGTATAGTTGGCGCTCATTCTCACGGGGCGCTCGCAGGCTGCCTTCCTCCAGTGGGTCGCCTCATGCTGGAGAAAACTGTACTTATGAAGGAAGCTTTTCTGACACTGGGAACATTTGTAGGGCATCTCTTCCCTGTGGATTCTCTCATGATCAACGAGCAAACTTTTGGTCCGCATACATCTCCCACAAAACTGGCACTTGTAGAGATTTTGGGGCGTCCCCTGCTGTCTATCAGCGCCAAGGCCCGATAAGAAAGTTCCCTCAGAGACAGAGGCTGCAGGAGGATTCTTCTCAGGAGCATCAGGGAAAATGGCCGCCCTCTCTTCTCTCTCTCCCTTGGGAGGGCTGCCCTTCCTCTCCCTCATGTGGATTTTCTGGTGTCTGTCAAGGTTCTCCTTTCGGGTGAAGGCTTTCTCACACTCGGGGCATCGATAGGGCCGCTCTGCCGTATGGCTATTCAGGTGCGCTGTCAGGGTGCGCTTCCGCTGGAAGCGCATCCCGCACTCGGAGCATTTAAAAGGCCTTTCTCGCAGGTAGGCCTTGGGGTGCTTCCTTGGGCTGGGGTGTTTATAACCCCTTTCTTCCGCGTGGCCTCTCTGGTGATTGGCAAAGGCCTTTTTGGCTGTGAACCTTTCCCCACAGGTAGAACATTTATAGGGGCACTCGCCAGAATGAGTTTTCTGGTGACTGAGGAGGGATGCTTTTGTTTTGAAGGCCTGGCCACAGTCCGGGCAGGTCCTCTGAGGCTCCCTTCCGGAAGCCTTCTTTTTGGCTGTGGACGGAGCAACGTCGCCGACTTCTGTCGCGCTACACTTTATCTTCCCCAGCTGGGCCCGTGGGGGCTTCTTCAGCTGAGGCCTATTCTTGGAGGCTTCCGTTTGCTTCACGCCCTGGCATCCATTCCCCTTGAAGATGTCCAGTATGCTCCTACGAAGGATCGTCAGCTTGCGACCTCCCCGTGGCCGTTTCTGTTCTTCAGCTTCACTTTCCTGCTCATCCTCTGCAGGGAACAGAAGGGAGAAGGATATACAAAAATGGGATCGTTATGAGAGCAGAGAAAAAGCCATCCACCCCAACAGCTGCCGCCACATCTCATGGCAGTCAATTTCACAAATTATGAACTGCGTGAAATAATTTTGTGCGTCTCGATGACAACCAATTACGTTGGGGGTCCCATGGATAAACACACTATGTTCTAGTAAGGGGAGCGGGGAGAAAACACTCGCTATTCACTTCCTTTACCACAGGCAGGCAGCCTGAAAAATCTCTAAAACTGCTCCTTTACTCCATCCAGTCAAGACTTCTTTCCTCCCTCCATTTCTGACTTATTCTTCCTGGCCTTTAAAATGCTTCTTCCCTTCTTTCTATGTAATTTTCAGAAAAGGCAGTATTTTATTTGGTAAAAATATTTTTAAATTTTGCTTTCTTCCTTGGGGAGGAGGAGAAGTTTTTATCCAGCAGATGTCTGAGAACAAACGGGTATGTTGCGAAACGTATGGCAGTGTGGCATCATGGTTAGAGTGTTGGGCTATGACCTGGGAGAGCAGGGTTCGAATCCCCAGTCAGCCAGGAAGCTCGCTGGATGACCTTGGGCCAGTCACCATCTCTTAGCCTAACCCAACCTCACAGGGTTGTTGTGAGGATAAAACGGGGAAGGGAATCATGCACACCACCTTGAGCTCCTTGGAAGATAAAGGTGGTATATAAATGCAATTAATTAATGAATATGTGCATGTTTGTAGAGAAAGGAATTACCGTATTTTTTGCTCTATAAGACTCACTTTTCCCCTCCTAAAAAGTAAGGGGAAATGTGTGTGTGTCTTATGGAGTGAATGCAGGCTGCGCAGCTATCCCAGAAGCCAGAACAGCAAGAGGGGTTGCTGCTTTGACTGCGCAGCGATCCCTCTTAATGTTCTGGCTTCTGAGATTCAATTTTTTTCTTCTTGTTTTCCTCCTCCAAAAACTTGTGGTCTGGTGTGTCTTATAGAGCGAAAAATACAGTACTTTCACTTGCTATCCAAAACAGTATCTGTTTTGGTCTCTTGCACTAAAAATAAAAATCCTCAGTATACTTATTTGAGAGTAGCCCTGCCAGATCCAGTGAGTTGCATTCAATGTGATATTAAGACAGGGCACAAGGATTTCAGCTAGCAGAATGGTACTTCCCCTCCCTGAATGTCCCCTATGTCTGTTCTAGGGATACCGAGCCCACCCCCCAAAGTAGATTTGGGAAGGAGCACATGCAGGTCAAGGAAAGGGAGGAAGCCCCACTCTGCCAGCAGTAATGTTTATGTTAACAGAATGAGCAAGTGGGATACTTGAAAAACAAACAAGGACACAGGAACATAGACTAAGAATTACCATAATCTATCTGGAAAAAGTTTATAAAAATGATGCATGGTTGGGAGAAAGTGGATAGGACAAAGTCCTGCCCCCTCCCGCCCAGGGCCAAATATAGGTTTGAGGAGGCCCCAAGCTACTGAAGGTAATGGGGCCCTTTATATGTCCAGCTGTCCTTTGTCAACAACAAATTGTCACTGTTTTTTGTGTTGAATATATGCTATTGGTTAATTTATAGACCTAATAGATATCTAAAACCATTTGTACATGTTGCCATGCAACCAGTCCATGCAGAATGTAGACACCCTATATCTAGAAATGAGCAAACCAGTGATATTTTAGGGAGCAAGTTAGCAGGCGGGGCCCATTACTTACATCATAGGAGCCTACGCAACACAAAGCACTGTTGCTGTATGTAGGTTTTCTTTTATTTGTTTTTTTATCTTATATTTTGGAAATGTACATCCAGGTTTTTTCCCCTTTAAATTTTTTTGGGCGGCCCAAGTGAGTGGGGCCCTATATGCTATAGCTTGTTTAGCTTATACGTAAATCCGGCACTGGACGCAAGAGATGTGTCTCTTTAGGACTCGCCATATTTTCATGGTTGTACATTGCTTTAAACTGTTTCCATCAACATGGTGCTTAAATGGTTGTAACATGCCCCAGGAAGGCTGGATAATAAGTTGAAATAATAAAATCCATCCATGCCCCCTTAGGAAGAAATGGTGGGATTTGGAGCACGGCCAAATGGTGGTGGCCTCCCCTTCCTTGGAGGTTTTTAAGCAGAGGTCGGGTGGCCGTCTGCCATGGATGCTTTAGCGGAGATTTCTGCATTGCAGGGGTCAGACTGGATGGCCCTCGGGGTCCCCTTCCAAATCGACAGTTCTGGGATTCTATGGTGCTCCGTAGGAGCTGTCTAAACAAAGGGCTTCCCTACACCAGGGGTCAGCAACCTTTTTCAGCCGTGGGCCAGTCCACCGTCCCTCAGACCATGTGGTGGGCTGGACTATATTGGGGGGGGGTGAATGAATTCCTATGCCCCACAAATAACCCAGAGATGCATTTTAAATAAAAGAACACATTCTACTCATGTCAAAACACGCTGATTACTGGACCGTCCGCGGGCCAGATTGAGAAGGCGATTGGGCCGCATCCGGCCCCCGGGCCTTAGGTTGCCTACCCCTGCTCTAGACAATCCTGACCTGAGCTTTCTGATGTAGTGGTGTATTTCACCGGGCTTCTGTACAGATCCCACCACATCCCTGCCTTCGGCCATCGCTTCAGCGTCGGTTTCACCGGGCCTTCCTCTGCACTCTCCTCAGAGCTCTGGAGATCTGGGACCCAAGCGTCTTCCCCTCGATCCAGCCGGCTGAGCAGTTCGGAGCCTTGGGCAGGGAATGTGCCTGAGGTGGGCACAAAGAGGAAGACGGAGTTGAGCAGAGTACATGAGAGAGAGAGAGAGAGAGAGAGAGAGAGAGAGAAAGGGGGACCTTGGATGAAGGGCAAATAAAATACAAAGTCTGACAGCAGCTCTACGGACCTGACTGCAGCCACTGCCTGAGGGACCTCCATCTCCCCTCCACCTGCTGCATCTGTGGCCTATACTGGCTCTCCAGACCAGGACCTGCTTGCAGTTGTGAAAGCAGGGCAGGGACCAGGACCCTGGGCAGGCAAACAGCACTGGAAACACCTGAAGCCCCAGCCAGGTGTGCATCAGTTGCTGGTGAAACTCTATAAAGCCTGCAAACCCTGGCAGCAGGAGCATCCCTTTGATGGTGGAACAAGGGTGTTGTAATAATACAACAAAACCACAAACTGGCTTATAAGTATAAAACCAAATTTACTAGAATAATAGCTAAAATAGAGATAGACTTATAACCATTCAAACAACAAACATACTAGGGTGCCATGTGCAAGACAAAGCCTGGAAATACTGTAAACATGGAGTGGATAAATGTACAACTTCTCTTAACAAGATACATGTGCAATAAACGTTATACAGACTGGATAAATGAACCGTTCAACAAGTAGCGTAAGTCCAATCACAGAACGGCAACCCCGTGCTGCCACAACGGCAAGGGTAGCACACTGGAGAATATGAAAATGTTTTTCAAAGCTGTTTTTCAAAGATTGAACTGGATGAGATGTTCTTCAATGGGTCTTGAGTTGGGAACACAAAGCCATATGCATGTTGTATTATTATTACTGTCACCACATTTGATACTTTGTGTTGGCCAGGCCCCTATGGTTTTAATGGGGGTGGGGTTTTTGCTTGGGTGTGGGGCTGTTTCAAACTGGATTTCAGGTCTTTCCCAGCCCCTACCCTGGACACATTGGGACAATGCCAGCTCCAGATTTTGGCAGTCTCTTGGGCAAGACTCCCTCCATGGGCTGCAGCCGCAGGGCTAGAGAACTCTTGTCGATGTTGACATTTCCATTCCACCTTAAGGCGCAGACATGTGGAACTGTTGTGTGTCACATGTCTGTTTACATTCCAGCACAGCTTGCTGGGAACTTCCGCTGTGTATAGCTTTTGCTTTTTCCTGTTCTCTCTGAGATGATGAGAGAGAGACATGTTTCTTTGTCCTGATTTATGATTAATAAATCTGTAGTTGTAGTATGCTTCCACAAGCCTCACGCCTATTCTGTGTGCGCAGTTTGATCTGCTGATAGTGTGCCCTGGCTCAGAAGCCCGGGTCGCTGATTTACGTTGGAGCTGAGGTAAAGGTCTTCACAGCGGGACGGCTGGAAGGAGACAGCCCAGCCAGGGCTAGCCAGCTGGCCTCCCGTCCCTCTACATGCCGTCAGTGGGGTGGGGCCCCTCAGCAGCTGCCAACCTGTGATGCCAGCCCTGTGCCAGCAGGAACTCATTCTGGGATCGTTCATGTGCCAGCAACAAACTCTGCGGCTGAGTGACTGCAGGTTTTGCCTACAGGCGAGAGGAAAAATGCTCAACAACCTCATGAAACTCCTAAACAATTTGAGAGACGAGCCGGTGACTCGTGCCGCCATTATTTAATCTGGAGTGGACTGATTTTGTGACTTATATATTTGTTAAAGGATCCTTACCGAGGGAGGCCATAGAGCTACAGCTCTCCTGCATGGCGTTCCTGCACAAGGCTCTCTGGCGACGGCCCGCAAGCAGACACGGCCCTTCACTGGAGTGCACGGTCACCTCTACCAAGGCTTCAGGGACCTGGAACAGGAGGAATGGGAAAAAAGAAAGATCCTCACTCAGAGTCTGCAGTGATAGCTCATGAGAGACAGTGTTGTGTAGTGGTTAGGGCAAGGTTTGGGGTGGATGGGAAATGGGTTCAAACCCTCATGTGGCCATGAAGCTCCATGGTAATTGTGGTAGCAAAGGTATCGATGGATCTTGAACTAAGACTTATACAACAGAAAATAATATTTAGACTCCATTACATTTACATAGTAAAGAACAGTCAAATGCAACTCTTTGTTGGAGATGTGATAAGGATAATGTCTCTTTGAAACAGATGTTCTTACAGTGTCCTGCTCTCACTAAGTTTTGGGAGAAAGTGTTGAACTGTATAAATTTGACAGTACAGAAAATTTTAAAAAAAATTCAGAGGAAAGTATTATTTTGAATTATATACCTATTATATGGAAGTAGACAACTGAACAATGAAAATGGATTCTGTGCGCCCTAACTACAACCCAAAGACTGGTAATTGATAAACTGGAAGAACAAAAATATGCTCCCCTTTAATAATCAATGGACTGAAGACATGACAGCACTCAAAACATATGAGCGGCTTGCTTACTGAGGCACACTTTGTCTGGATAAATATATTGATATGTGAAATGAGTTTATACAGATCACAGTAGATTATTAATAATCATATATGTATTAGCGCATATAAGAATCATAAATTTTATATATTTATATATGCACATATATGCATATTCACTTCATTTTGTATAACTGAAAAAAACTTTAAAATATTTAAAAACAGATAATGCCAGGGTAATACTTCAACATTAAATAACATAATATAATAATAATAATAATAATAATAATAATAATAATAATAATAATTAATAATAATGTGTGCAGGGCACACTTGTTCTTAAACCGTACCACATATATTTTTATTGGCTCAGGTAAAGATGTATATAGCATTTCTTTTCACAAAACTCCCTGGCTTTTGCCAAAGGCAACACTGTCAACTGCAGGAGTGTAATACAACAAGGGTGGTCTGGAAATCTGAGTGATCTGCAGTAGATCAGCAAATATTCTGACTCCCCCTTTTTTATATAGAACAATAGCAAACAACAAAAAGTCTCACCCCCCCCCTTCTGAATTATGCTACCAAGATTTAAAAAATCTTTTTTGGGGGGGTGGGGGAGCACAGGAGTAGATCTCAATGTGAGAGGACTCAGAGCTGAAGACCACTCTCAATTTCGGGAAAAAGACAGTGAAGTACAGAACGGGTAACCAACCTTCAGAGTGGTAATGGGGAGTCAGCCCAGCCTACTTTTCAGGGTTGTTGTGAGAATGAAATGGCACAGGGTGGGAGAAAGCCAGGTTAGATTTAGAATGCAACCATAACCAAACCAAAAACTCATTAGGTGGCCGTAGGCAAACCATTGTTTCGCTCAGCATCAATCCCTTATTTTCAGAATATGGCAAATCATACTGGCCCTTCTTAAAGGAACATGGCATGAAGCATTTTAGTACCTCAGATACAATACAGTGCTGCTCTTCCCCTTAACACCTGAATCCATTTTGACCTGATGTCCTCTCGGCCTGGCCCCTACCCCCACTGCCACCGCACCTGCCCCTAGGGTAAGCTTTCTCTCCCCCCCCCCCATCTTTCACCCGCCCCACCAGAAACCCCCAAATCTCCCCTACTTGAGCCATCTTCGCCATTTCTCTTCCTCCGCCAGGAGTTTGGGATGATCCCGAATCAAGCAAGAGCTGGCTGAGTCAAAAATATATTCTTTTTTTTTTTTCCGCAGCCTGTGGAGAAGCAAGAAGGATAGTTTCAGAAAAGGCTTTCCTCCCTTGATGGTTCCAAGTGAGGAGACCCCGCAAGTCAGATTTCTATCCCTCCTCCAAACACCATACCCTGCTGCTTCAGGGTGCCAGTTAATAATAATAATAATAATATGATAGCCAAGTGAAGTCCTTTGATGGTGCTTTTTTGCATCTCAAGACCCAACTAAAAGGCATCAGTTAAAATCTGCATACAGGCACATTAGCTACAAATCCAAATGCTTCCCTTTCCACCCCCCTCTCCCTTCAAACTCACCCTCCTGACTTTCACCCATAAGATCGCCCTCCTAAATTGAACTAATTGATCTGGGCAGAATTAGAATCATAGAATTGTAGGGTTTGAGTAAACACTTACTAGCAGGGTTTGAGCAAACACTTACAATTAAGGGGGAAAGTGTATAAATTACGGAGCAATAATTGGGGAAACTACCAAAAAAAATTGCAAGATGTAATTTGGAATGATTTGGTATAAAAAGGATAAGAACAGAAGAATATTTGGTTGAAAGATTTCTAAATTAAGGTAAACAAAATAAGCAGAAGGAGCAAACTTTTAAAGAACCAGAAGAGGAGGTTGGGGGAAGTCAAGACTTGGATTGATTTATTTTATTATTGTGTTTATGATGATTGGGCTGAATATAAAATTGTAAAACCTAATAAAAATTATTTTTAAAAAGAATCATGGAGTTGGAAGGGACCCCACAGGAATCTCAGCTGAAGCATCCATGACAGATGGCCACCCAACCGCTTCTCAGAGAAGTTGGAGAGTCTCTTTCTCTTTCTCTTTCCCCCTTTCGGTTTCCTTCTGGTTCCTATGATGGCCCCCGCCATCAGAGTCACGGGCTCTCCCCTTCCTGGTTTGCGTACCTGGAGCCTCCAAACTCAGCTCAGGGACTCCCCGGCTCCAAGAGAAGTGGATCCACTTTCCAAGCCGGATGGAGATCTTCTCCAAATTCCCAACGATGCTGCGGACGAGCTGCAGTTGCTTTCATCCATGCCTCCTTCCCCAGGAGAGCGAAGTCCCGGAAGCAAGAGCGTCTGACCCAACAGTCCCAGGATGGCGGGGAAAGGAGGAGACAAAAAAAACTCTCCTTCGCCCTCAAATGGCCAGCTGAGGTTGCCATCTTTCCCTTCCGAGAATTGCTCCTGTGCTCTCAGCTGCTGCTGCGGGCGGCAGGCTGAAAGACACCGGGTGCAGTTCCCCCCCCAGGACCGCGGCGCCCCCAAGGACAACTTTTTTCATTCCTTCGTTCTTTCCCCATTCCCCTTTTCAACCCAGAGTGCCTTCCCCTTTCCCAAAGCACCTGAGAACAACAATGGAACAATGGAAACGCCAAAAAAAAAGGAATGATAGAAAGGGATATTTTGGTTGCAGGGAAGTGTGTTTATTGCTTGTCTGGCAATCCCTTCTGGCGCCTGGAAGTTGATAACAAAGACCAGTTTTTTTTCCTCTCTCTCTCCCTCTCCGGAGGCAGGAAGACCTTTTATCAGAGAAGTGTGCCTCTAGGCACCTGCAGAGTGCAATGTTTTCTGATATGCGTGCCCATCCCCCAAGAGATAAAGGTCCCATTGGCATTATATTTAAAGCAGTACCGTCCCACTTGGAAAAAAGCTCCCTCCCCAAAAAAGTCATAAGAGGTGTAGTTTGTTGGGGGTGCTGAGAGTTGTTAAAGGTAAAGGGACCCCTGACCATTAGGTCCAATCGTGGCCGACTCTGGGGTTGTGGTGCTCATCTTGCTTTACTGGCCGAGGGAGCCGGCGTACAGCTTCTGGGTCATGTGGCCAGCATGACTAAGCCGCTTCTGGCGAACCAGAGCAGCGCATGGAAATGCTGTTTATCTACTTGTACTTTGACATGCTTTCAATCTGCTAGGTTGGCAGGAGCAGGGACTGAGCAACGGGAGCTCACCCCGTCGTGGGGATTCAAACCGCGGGATTCGAACCACCGACCTTCTGATCGGCAAGTCCTAGGCTCTGTGGTTTAACCCACAGTGCCACCCGCTTTACAGTTACTTTACTTCAATCCTAGGCACACTTACTTGAGAACATGCTCTGTTCAATAATCCCAAGAAGGCTTCCTTCTGAGTAAATATTTTAGTCAGCAAATGTGCAGTTGTATACAGTGATGCACCTAGATTTTGGGGGCCCTGAAATTATTTGGACTATCCTGGGGGCCCCTTCGCAACCAGCTAGGAGGTTTGTAGTAACTTCTTCAATGGGGTTGTTCCACAACAGATTGCCACACCATTGCAACATCTGAGCTCCTCACTCTCAAACTTTGTGATTGTTGAAATATATACAACAAAAAAGCAATCAATTTGAGTCACGCGACTCAAATAGGGTTTCCTAGACCAAGAAAAATAATTAAGCAATCTGGGGCCCCTCTGGGATTCAGGGCCTATAGCTTAAGCTTCTTTAGTTTTATAATAGATCTGCCCCTGGTCCTATACTTACTTGGGAGTAATTTCCACTGGACTTTGTTGAATATTTTCAGACTACTTCAGCAAGCATGTCAAGGTGCAAATGAGGACAACCACTTTCACATGACCCATTTTACTCCTAAATGAAGTGTGTCCCTTTTCTCTTAAAGGCCTGACTGCATTACCTCAAAAGGGAAATGAATTTTAAATTGTTGTTGTTGCTGCTGTTGTTGTTGTTGTTGATTTGTATACCACCCTTCATCCATAGATCTCAGGGCAATTCACAACATACAAATACAAGATAAAAACACAAAATATATAATAAAAACAAGAACAAAGAAACCCACAAACCAATAACTCCCTGCTTCCACAAACACATTTTAAAGGACATTGGATGTTAATCAGCCAAAGGCCTGTTTAAGAGGAATGGTTTTTTGGGGTGGTTTCTGGCACCTAAAGGTATATATTGAAGACACCGGACAAATCCCACTGGGGAGAGCATTCCACTCATGGGTGAGGCAGAACCAAGCGTTCTGTGACGCAATTGATGAGTTAGTTGTTTTTATTTATTTACTTGATTTGGGGGGCAGCTTCCCCCTCCCTGCACCCATGCACCTTCTGGACCTCTCATGGAGGCACACAAAGAAAGGGCCTCAGAGGATGATATCAGAGTCTAAATAGATTTATATGGAGAGAGGTGGTTGTTGAGGTATTGCTGTCCTGAGCCATTCAAGGCTTTATTTATAGGACAAAGTCAGCACTTTGAATTGGGCCCAGAAACTACGGTAATTGGCAGCCAGTGCAGTCGGGTCAGGATCGGTGCAATATGCTGAAACAGTCTTGCCCTGCATACTTTCCAATGTTTCTCTGATGAAAATAGAGGTGTCAATTATTATCCTGCAGCAGCAAAGCGCCCCATAAAAAGAACATAGCCAGAAATACAGTATAGATTCTGCTCCTGAAGAAAGGCTTTCCATATAGGGTGCTTCATTCATTCCTGAATATATCATGTTTGCATACCGTCCATCATTTCTTCAATGCCCCCTCCCCCTATCTGATTGGGTTGCCCCAGCCACTCTGGGCAGCTTTCAACATATATAAAAACATAACAAAACATTTAACATTTAAAAACCTCCCTATACAGGGCTGCCTTCAGGTGGCTGGGGGGGGGGGCAGAAAACTCCATACTCTCCAACATTTCTCCAGTGAAAATAGGGATGTCCTAAGGAAAAGTTGAAGGGACGCGGGTGGCGCTGTGGGTAAAAGCCTCAGCGCCTAGGGCTTGCCGATCAAAAGGTCGGCGGTTCGAATCCCCGCAGCTGGGTGCGCTCCCGTTGCTCGGTCCCAGCGCCTGCCAACCTAGCAGTTCGAAAGCACCTCCGAGTGCAAGTAGATAAATAGGGACCGCTTACTAGCGGGAAGGTAAACAGCGTTTCCGTGTGCGGCTCTGCCTCGCCAGATGCAGCTTTGTCACGCTGGCCACGTGACCCGGAAGTGTCTGCGGACAGCGCTGGCCCCCGGCCTCTAGAGTGAGATGGGCGCACAACCCTAGAGTCTGGCAAGACTGGCCCGTACGGGCAGGGGTACCTTTACCTTTTTACTTTTTAAGGAAAAGTTGGACATTTTGGGGTCAAGTCAGAAACTGGCACTATTTCTTTAAATCCGGGGCTGTCCCTGGGAAATAGGGGCACTTGGAAGACTCTGGTCCCGGTGAGTAACTTGGCCAAATTCTGCACCAACTGGACCTTCTGAACCATCTTCAGAGGTAATCCTATGTAGAACACATTGCAGTAATCTCACTTAGAGGTTACCAAAGCATAGACAGCAGTAGTTACATTATCCCTGGGCCACCAGCCCAAGCTGATGGAATAAACTCCTTAGTAAAGCTGTTCAGATCTTAGTAAATCTGCCTGCTGGTTTATAGGAGATAACCTGCCTGGTTCACTAAGAGATAACCACCACAACTACCTGGAGAGATGAAGATCCAAAATCCCCATTAGGGCAATAGAATGCTGTTTTAACTTGTGCACCTTCATCTTTCTGCACTTGGCCAAAAATATTTTTTAATTCGTAAGAGGGCTGGTGTCTGGAGAAAACCTCTTTGACAATGCCACCAGCCATTACACCCAATGGGTTTTGACTATACATAATTCTGGTGTGGAATTATGGTGTGGAAGCTTTTGAGTTCCTCAGAACTCTTTCTCTTTATTCACCATTTAGCTTGATGCTAAGCGTTCTGGAGAACCTGAAGGCTTGCACAGAATTTTGTGAGGATTATGACATTTTCCTTATGGGTCAACACAGCTACTTTTGCTCTCAACTCACTCTAGCTAAGAAGTAGAGATCCACTGGGCCAAGGGGTCTCTGAAATGTGGAAAGTGAATGCTGACAAACCCTGGTTCAAATCCCCACAGGCCAGTTTATGCAGTGATATATTTGCCTTAAAATGCCACCCTTTGGCTCAGGACTTTAGTATGTTAAATTTTATGTTGCACTTGACTTTTATGCAGCCTGGATAAACTCATTTGTAAGAAGGTTCTTTTCACACAAGGTCTTAAATTTATTTTTAAGGAAGGTGATAATTGTAAACAGTTGTGTATGTAAAAAAATAAATAGCTGTTGTTCAATACAACTTCTACTTTTTGAACTGAACAAAAATAAACATAGGCAGTGTGTGGGCTTGGTGACAGGGTTCTAGAAGCTTCTACTGGGTAGCAGTTCATTCCATCTTCCATTCACTTCTTTAAAGCCCTACTAGGAAATATGGCAGCTGTGGCAATTTAGGAAGACTGACTATGGCCTACTTTTGACTGAATACCCAAATGCGTATGTTGTTGTTGTTGTTTAGTCGTTCAGTCGTGTCCGACTCTTCGTGACCCCATGGACCAGAGCATGCCAGGCACTCCTGTCTTCCACTGCCTCCCGCAGTTTGGTCAGACTCATGTTTGTAGCTTCGAGAACACTGTCCAACCATCTCGTCCTCTGTCGTCCCCTTCTCCTTGTGCCCTCCATCTTTCCCAATATCAGGGTCTTCTCTTCTCATGAGGTGGCCAAAGTATTGGAGCCTCAGCTTCACAATCTGTCCTTCCAGTGAGCACTCAGGGCTAATTTCCTTAAGAATGGATGCGTTTGATCTTCTTGCAGTCCATGGGACTCTCAAGATTCTCCTCCAGCACCAGAATTCAAAAGCATAAATTCTTTGGCGATCAGCCTTCTTTATGGTCCAGCTCTCACTTCCATACATCACTACTGGATCACTACCCAAATGCGTATGTTGAAGCTTATATATTTAGAGATAAAATTACCTTCATGGCTTTAACATCCTCTCATGCTGCTAGGTGCACAAACTCCCACAGAGGAATTGGGAGGAAGCAGGATTGGGGCGGGAGACATATTATTGGAAATTTGTGAGGAAAGCCAGGTGCTACTTGTGATGCCCTGGCTTACTTCTGCCCTCACAAAGTAGCCATCCTGAGGGCACTCACAAGATTCTGCAGAAGACAGAACCAGGCACAAAACATGGAGAAGAAATCCAACCAGCCTCTGAGCTTTGAAAATGCTTGTTGGGGAACCAGTGATGGAAGCAGGCAGCTGATCTGAGACATTTGGCATCCTCCTTGGCTCCCAAAATGCAGGTAAGATGGAAAACCTGGTTCTAGGTTAAAGCACTTTATTGACAGGACCGCGGGTTCCTCCATACGAAAACACACAAGTCACAGACAAATAAGGAATGATACGAAGGATGGTTGGAGGATGGATGGCGGCTAACGGATTGAGGTTGAATCCTGACAAGACAGAAGTACTCTTTTCGGGGGACAAGGGGCGGGCAGGTATGGAGGACTCCCTGGTCCTGAATGGGGTAACTGCGCCCCTGAAGAACCAGGTGCGCAGCCTAGGAGTCATTTTGGACTCACAGCTGTCCATGGAGGCACAGGTCAATTCTGCATCCAGGACAGCTGTCTACCAGCTCCATCTGGTACACAAGCTGAGACCCTACCTGCCCACGGACTGTCTCACCAGAGTAGAGTAGTGCATGCTCTAGTTATCTCCCACTTGGACTAGCAATGTGCTCTACGTGGGACTAAGATGACCTGGAAACTGCAACTAATCCAGAATGTGGCAGCTAGACTGGTGACTGGGAGCGGCTGCTGAACCACATAACACCGGTATTGAAAGACCTACACTGGCTCCCAGTACGTTTCTGAACACAATTCAAAGTGTTGGTGCTGACCTTTAAAGCCCTAAACGGCCTCTCCACCCCCATCATTCAGCCTGGACACTGAGGTCCAGCTCCGAGGGCCTTCTGGTGGTTCCCTTGCTGCGAGAAGTGAGGTTACAGGGAACCAGGCAGAGGGCCTTCTTGGTAGTGGCGCCCGCCCTGTGGAACGCCCTCCTGTCAGATGTGAAAGAGATACACAACTATCAGACATTTAGAAGACATCTGAAGGCAGCCCTATTTAGGGAAGTTTTTAATGACTGATGTTTTAATGTATTTTTAATCTTTGTTGGAAGCTGCCCAGAGTGGCTGGGGAAACCTGTTGTTGTTGTTGTTTTCCCCTCCCAGTCTTTGACTAGGCAGACAAATCGCTTTCCTACACTCAAGATAATTTCCTTCTTTTGGGATCCAGCAGCCATGTCTTTTGACCCCACCCACCCCAAAATAAAATCCAGAAAACAGATACCAGTAAAAAAGCTTTTATGAAGAAAAAACACAGTGTAAATAATTCATCCTCAAAGTTTTAGGCTCCAGAGGAGTGTCTGCAATAAGTAAGTAGCAGCTGCTCCTATAAAACACACACACACACACACACAATATATACGGTATATATATATATATATATATATCCAGGTGAAAAGAGGGACTTCGTAGGGCAATTATCCTGAATGAACCTGGGCTTTCCAGTCACTGTAAATTGTAGAAATCTGTAGGTTTTAATTTTGTACCATATTTCAGTACTTAATCCTGTTGCCATCACTGGTGTTTTCCCAGTTTTTCTGAGTTCGCACCTTATGGCACAACCAGGAGCAGGGAGAGAGATGTACAAAGAACTTCCTTACACAGTCCTTTTGAAAAGCACATCTTGCTATGGAAGATGTCTGCACACATATATTTTCCCTGCCAGTCCCATGCTAAGACAATAACCTGAGATATATCTGATGGAGAAAGGAAAGCACCAAAACAACAGCAACAGTAGCATGGCAAGGTAGTGATTAAAATTTGATTTTATGGTGAGTGTGCGTAACATGCAGTGTGCATCAGAATACAAGACATTCAAAATCCAGTGTGCCTAAGAATACTCAGAATATTCTGTCTTTTCACAAGATTCATAAATTACCAAACAGTTCAGTTGCTATGCCTCTCCCTTTAAAAAATATCCTAGTAAAAACCTTCATATTACAGAAGATGAAAGAGGGACTTTGAATTATTACTTTTATTCATTTATTGCATTTATATACCACTCCCCCCCCCCCAAAGTGACACACATGGTTCCCTTGCTCCTCTGTTAATCCCCACAATAACCCTGTGAGGAAGATTAGGCTGAGAAGCAATGACTGGCTGAGGGTCACCCACTGGCCAAATGGGGGCTTGAACCCTGGTCCATCAGGTCTGCCCAAACTTGGGTGTCCAGATGTTTTGGGACTACAACTCCCATCATCCCTAGCTAGCAGGACCTGTGGTTAGGGACGATGGGAATTTTTTAAATGATTTTTTTATTTTGCTTTAAACAAATACAGGTAAATTTAAGCAGCCAAAATTACAAAAGAGAAATCCTTAATAATAATAATAATAATAATAATAATAATAATAATAATAATAGAAAGGGATACAAAACTACAAAAAATATCAAAATACATGGCATAAAACATGAGCCATTATGGGAAAGAAAAAAGAAAGAAGAAGGAGAAAAAGAATGAAAAGAAAAGAGAGAGAGAGAGAGAGAGAGAGAAACGAGCCAAAACACAAGAAAGCTTGTCTATTGTATGCTTCCGTCAAGGTCGCAACAGATTATTATTCTTATCTATTCTCTCTGTCTGCATTCCGTAGAATCCCTCATCTTGGTATCAGGGAACATTTCCCTATGTGGTATCATTCCAAACGATGGGAATTGTAGTCCAAAACCAGCTGGAGACCCAAGTTTGGGGAACCCTGTTCTAACCATTGTGCTACACTGTCTCAGACCAGGGTGTTAGAATTCAGACCAGTTCAACATCAAACTAAGCCATGCCCAAGTGAACAATATTCTGCAGCTCTTGTTTTTTGTTTAGGGAGTGGATGTTTTAAAATTAATAACTACACAGTTGTTTCTCCCCACACCTCTTCTTTTGAGAGAGTAGACTGGCCTCTTGGTTACCAGTTCCTTCGTCCGTCAAGCAGTACCCGTGTTTCCCCAGTCAGGTCCAGTAATTCAAAGCAACCAAAATATCTACGTATCACCAGCAGCACGAAAGGTTCATTCCCTGAGCAAAGGTACTTTCAAACTGCACAAAGTAAAGTTGATTGTGAGGTAGATTATGACCATTCCTTATACAGTATAGAGATTCTGGGTTACCTGAAGACACAGGCATGTTTCAGCACCAATGATCTTAGGTAAAACAGACCCACAACAGCAGACCATATTAAGGATCGTCCCATTTCATTACGTCTTGGGAAAACATATTAAGTAGGTTTGCCACACGTCAGGAAAATCACTGATACGTCCTGGTTTTTGGGTGCCAAAATGGCGTCGGGGGGGGGATATTGCCAAATCGGCAAAATGTCAGGGAAAACACGGATGTGTGGCAACGCGATGGAAAAAGCAGCGGAAACAGTTCCAAAAGCTTAAAACCACTATTTTGTGGGGGGAGGGGTCCCACAAAGAAGCTCAACAATTTTGGGACCTTCCTAAAAAAAAAAAGCTGAGCAACTTTGCAGGCGTCAGGAATTTTATTTTTTGGAAATATGGCAACCCTGTGTTGAGAAACCTGATCTAGCTGGTCTAGCTCTAGGAGGAGCTCGTTTTCAAATGGGTCTTCAAATGCTTTTTAAGGGACCACGGGTTCGGGTAATCTTTGTCGCACTCTGCACACTTATACGGCCTCTCTCCTGTGTGAAGCCTGAGGTGATACCGAAGATTTGGGCCTGTTGTGACCCTCTTGCCACAATAAACACAGCAGTAGGGCCTCTCTCTGTGGGTCTTCAGATGCCTATCTATGCAGGACCTTGTTCTGAAGCATTTCCCACATTCGTGGCACTGATTAGGCTTGAAATCTGTATGCGTGAGCTGGTGCTTTGCTAGCATTTGGGGGTCCTGGAAGCTCTCCTCACAGGTTCGACATTGATAAGGTCTCGCCGAGGTGTCGGTTACCTGATGTCTAGTGAGGGAATATGTCTCTCCGGAGGATTTCCCGCAATTAAGGCATGTATGTCCTTCTTTGCCCGTGACAACTCCCTCCTGACTCAAGTGAGTTGACTTGACCCCACCGGGATCCTGACCACCTAACCCATTAACAGAGTGTTCCTCTAAGTGGATGCTCTGCTCTTCAGCCAGCAATGAGCCGTACACAGATGTCCTCACACTCCCAGAACTCTCGGGAGGGTTATCTCCCAGAGGGGCTCCCTGAATCAGTCCAGAGTAGGCCGAATTATTGGTCCACAGGCTGAAATGTCCTTCTGTATTGCTTGTTGGATTGTGATCAAGCATGGAGCCATCCCTGGAAACGGTTTGGTCACCAGTAACAGGTTCTTCTTGTCCAGTAAGGTCTGAGCTGCCCATCGGCCCAGGTGAATTTCCTTCAACGTGGACTTCCTGGTGCTTAGAGTTTATTGAATCTTCACACCCTGGGTTGACACTTTCGTTGGCATGTCTAGCTCGGTATTTGGGAAGCACTGAGCCATCTCTGAATGTGTTCTTATGTTCTTCTGACCCTTTGGCAGAATTTTCCTCCAAGTGGCTTCCCCAGGCAACGTCGCCCACACTCTCAGAGCTCTCCTTCTCCTTGTAGATGTCCTCATGCCCAGAGATCATTGAACCATCAGGCGAGCCATTGGAATTTTCTTCTGTCGTGCTAGCTTCCTCTTCAGCTACGCCAGGACCTTCCCCGCCACTGGTCAGTTTGCCTGGACTTCCATTGGCATGCATGTCCTGGTGCCTATGGAGGGAATATTTTGTCCCGAAGGCTTTCTGGCAGATAGAGCACTGGTAGGACCTTGTTTTCAAGTGGATGAGCCTGTGTCTACTCAGAGAATTACTGGTTGGGAAGGTTTTCGGGCAGAAAGTGCACTTGTGGAGCGGCCCTTGCGTGTGTATCTCCCGATGGCGAGCGAGGGCGTCTCTGTAAGCGAAGGCTTTCCCGCAAACGGCGCATTGGTAGCGCTTCTCCCCCATGTGCAGCTGATGATGTCTATTGAGGCAGCTCCAGGTTCGGAATGCTTGGCTGCAAAACGAGCAAATATGCAGACTGGGTTGCTCATCCTCATGGGTTTCCTGATGTTGAGCGAGAGTGTATCTGTACGCAAAGGCTTTCCCACAAATGGGACATTTGTAAGGCTTGGCTTTTACAGTGGGTGGCAAGCATCCATGGAGGACACTTTTAGCGCCGAACCCTTTCGCACAGCAAGAGCATTTGTGCAGACCACTTTCTCCTTTGACACAGCCTTTCTGATTGTCTGGGAAGGACCATGCACAGGAAAAACCTTCCTCACGACTGGGACATTTGGCGGGTCTGCATTCTGGGTGGATTCTCTGATGTCTCCTGAGGTTGTAGTGGGTCGTGTAGACTCTCTCGCAACGTGAGCATCTATAGGATCCTTTCTTCCGGGGGGTTTCCAGCTGGTCAGCCGGCAGCGCTCTTGCCTCAAGGTCTTCCCGATGTCCTCTTCTCTGATGGTTAGCAAAACGTCGGCTGTCTCTGAAGATTTCCCCAGAGTCGGGGCATTTATAGAGATTAACTTCCATTTCAATTTTGGGCTGCACAGGCAGCGTCAAGTCGGCGCAGAGGGGCTTTCCGCAGTCAAAGCACACATCGGATTCAAAATCCGCTTGGGTTTTCTGATTTCTAGTGAGTCGGGTTTCTTCCCTGAACGCACCTGCCTGTCCGCGCTGCTGCTCTCTCGCATGCACCCTCCAGTGATTAGCAAAGCATCTCTCATTCTTGAAACATCGCCCACACACGGGGCATTCGTGGCTATATTCGTCTGCATCACTTTCCCTGTTTGTGGGGTGGGCCGGCCTCTTTCCAAAGTGGATTTCACGGGGAAGGTATTTATGAGGGTTCCCCTTTTCATGCGTTCTCCAATGACCGTTGTCGTCACTCAAACCTTCCTTGCATTCTGAGCATCCGCAAGGACGCTCCATTGTGGGGAGCTCTCCCTGTTTGATTAGAGGAGATTCCTCTACGACACTTGTCCCATGGTCATGGCACCGGTAGCAGCTTCCTTCGGTGTGGATCGTCGCTCGATGCAGAGCGAGATCTTTCTCTTTCGTAAAGCCTTTCCCGCAACCGGGGCATTCAAAGAGAGTTGCACCCGAGTGGGCCTTCGCCACATGGCGAACAAGGCGACTCTCTGCCTCGTAGCTTTTCCCACAGTCAGGGCATGAACAGGTTGGCTCATCGGTGTGGCTCGCCCGATGCTCGTTGAAAGAGGCTTTCGTAAAGAAGTCCTCTCCACACTCAGGGCATTCGTAGGGTTCCCTTCTCAAACGACACTTTTTCGTATGTGTTTGTGTGTGGGCAATGAGCTGATATTTCTCAGTGAAACCTTTGCCACAGGTGGGACATATATAGGGTCTCGTACTGCTGTGGAGTTTTAGGTGTCTTTTGAGAGTTGACTTCCTGCCATATTTTTTCCCACACTTGAAGCATACGTTCTGGTTCCCTTCTGCATCTGTGCTTTGCTGGATGTTTTCGTTACCAACAAGGCCTCCATCTTTTTCGTCGGCAGGATTGTTACTGGCTGTTTGTCCCTGCAAGTGATTGTTCCCACTCTCCTGGGTTTCTTCCCCCATGGAACCAGCATTAGGTTTCCCCAAGAGAGATGCCAGTGGTTTTGTGACTCTGGGACCTTCTTCCCTCTTCACGTTTTCATCTTCTTCCTCACTCATCGGGTCATCATCTGCAAAGGAAAGGAAAAGCAAAATCCCTGAGAAGGCTTGGGAGAGGCTACCAAAAGGAGGTCGGAACATCCTCCCTATGAAAAATGAAATGAAAATAAAATGTGTGTTGCAGGGGGGAGGTGGGGAAATAATAACTATTATTATTATTATTATTATTATTATTATTATTATTATTATTATTACAGTGGTACCTCAGGTTACATACGCTTCAGGTTACAGACTCCACTAACCCAGAAATAGTGCTTCAGGTTAAGCACTTTGCTTCAGGATGAGAACAAAAATTGTGCTCCGGCAGCGCACCGGCAGCTGGAGGCCCCATTAGCTAAAGTGGGGCTTCAGGTTAAGAACAGTTTCAGGTTAAGTACGGACCTCCGGAACGAATTAAGTACTTAACCTGAGGTACCACTGTATTATTATTATTATTCAGGCCATCTGACTGGGTTGCCCCAAGCCACTTTGGGTGGCTTCCAACAAATTATAGACATTAAGCACAGTAAAACATCTAACATTAAAAACTTCCCTATACAGGGCTGCCTTCAGATGTCTTCTAAAACTCAGTTGCTTATTTCCTTGACATCTGGTGCGAGGGTGTTCCACAGGGAGGGCGCCACTACTAGGAAGGCCCTCTGCCTGGTTCCCTGTAACCTCACAGTGAGGGAACTGCCAGAAGGCCCACAGAGCTGGAGCCCTGTGTTCTCTGAATTACTGCAAAGAAGGTATCCTTTCTTGTAACACACAGGTGTTTAGGTAATTAATGATGTTACAATCTCCTAAGATTAATTTATACTTTTACGATCAACATTAGGAAGTGTAGACCGCAATGACCATTTGCTAGATGGAATCCTTTGATGATTAAGCCTCACTGAATGATTTTTATAAAGTTGTAATAGTGTATATAAATGAAGATGTGGAATACTTAACATATTAGATTTCCATCGGTTGGGTATCATTGCGATTAGGTCTCTGTATGAATATTTAATTTTAATTGCCTGAAGATATCAGTATGAAATGGCATTGCCAACAGGAACTGTACATTGTAATCGTTGGACTTGACAATGTTTGGACTTGACTATCCTTGGACTTTACGACAATAAAAACATATAGAAGGTTAATAGTACAGTGGTACCTCGGGTTAAGTACTTACCGGTAATTCGTTCTGGAGCTCCATTCTTAACCTGAAACTGTTCTTAAGCTGAAGCACCACTTTAGCTAATGGGGCCTCCCGCTGCTGCCACTGTGCCTCTGCTGCACAATTTCTGTTCTCATCCTGAAGCAAAGTTCTTAACCTGAGGTACTATTTCTGGGTTAGCGGAGTCTATAACCTGAAGCGTCTGTAACCAGAGGTACCACTGTAATATAATATGTTATTGCCACCAGGAACTGTGCTTTGCAATTTTTTGATATGACGATTACAGTTTTATTATATATAATGTTATGTTACTTTACAGCCAGTTACGTGTGTGTTGTGGTATTCAGAATACCAATTTCTGCAGCTGAGGGAAGGATCTGTGGCCTTCATGTCCTTCTTGAGGAGTTCCTGATGCCCTTCAGAGGTTGTTGGGCTACAAATTCCATCACTGACACGCTGGCCGAGGCTGATAGGAGCTGTAGTCCAATGACATCTGGAACATGATAACTTAGCCACCTCTGATTTGGGGCTCAGAAGGTGATTTTAGGCTTAAGCTTGAAGATGCCAAGTACAATCCTTACCTGGACCAGATAGATCTGAACTATGGATGCTCGCAGGACACCGGTAGGAATTGCACCAAGTTGCTGCCTCTGGCAATTGTTCCGGCAATTGTTTAATCATATCTTCATCTGCATCACGGCGGAAGCTCTGGAAATCTGGGGGCCAAGTGCTCTGCCCTTGTTCCAGATAGGCAAACAGTCCAGAGGCTTGGAAAGGAAGAGGAAAGAAAGAAAGAAAGAAAGAAAGAAAGAAAGAAAGAAAGAAAGAAGCAGATGAGTTGTGGATTCATTTCCCCGCTTGCTTTTTCAAGAAAGTGAAAAAGAAAGCCTGAAAGCGGACTCCCCAGTCAGCAAGAGTTCTCTGGGGGGAGGTTGCTCTTCAAGCAATCACTCTGCAGTAAAGTTTTAAAAACAGAAAACTTGTGAAAACTACAGGTGACAAGCACCATCTAATTGGAAGCACCCCATCCTGTGAAAAGGAGGAAGGGACAATGCCTCTTTTTAGATTATGCTTGTCAAGACACATGCATTGAATTTATAATCTAAATAACAAAGTCTGTTTCTCCCCCTTTTGGAGTATTGTGTTGTTATGTGGAAATGTTTAAATAGATCATTCATCTAAGGCTGCACTCCTTATGTAATAAGCCTTACTGAACACAGAGGAGGGCATTGCTTCTGAGTAAATATGAAAGGGATGCACTGTACATGTGACTGGTTTTCCTATAGTTGATTGACTGGATTTAAAAGGTTAGAAATATTTGAATGGATTAAAAGGGTAGCCCTGATTAACTAGGCAGATCTCATTCTTTTAGCTGATTTTTAGAAAAACTAGGATTGGATAAATGTATATGTTGCCTTCTAATATAAAAAAAACTATCAAGGCAGCTTACATTAATAAAACAATTGAAATATTTGAAGAGACATTTCCCCCTCTTCTCCTTTGAAGTGTTTCCCAACCCATACGTAATACATTCCACTCCCAAATATGAAATAATAACTGTTATTAGCCAGTTTAAGGCTGCAGTCCTTTGCACAGCTACTTTGCAGTAAGTCCCATTGAACACAAGGGGACTTACTTCCAAGTAAACATGCATGAGCTTGCCTGTACATCCATGATGCAGAAGTGCCCAGCGAGTCCTTAGTTCTGCCTCTCTCACATGCAACCTCCATGGCTTTCATAGGAAACTTTTACACAACAATTAAACAAAGTCCAGCTCCGTTTAAGTCTGCAATACTTAAAAACAACCCCCCCAAAACCCCACCTTATAACTGGAAAGAACAGGGGGAAATAATCTCACCCATGAAGATGGTGCCGTAGCTCTCCTGCATGGCTTTTCTGTAGAAGCTTCCCTGATCAGCATCCAGGAGATCCTGCTGTGTCTGAAACAAACAGAAAACCCTCTCCTGCTTCACTCTCAAATAAGAATGCAAGAAGAGCCCAGCTGGGTCAGGATGAAGGCCCAGTACAGTGGTACCTCGGGTTAAGTACTTAATTCATTCCGGAGGTCTGTTCTTAATCTGAAACTGTTCTTAACGTGAAGCACCACTTTAGCTAATGGGCCTCCTGCTGCCGTCGCACCGCCGGAGCCCGAATTCTGTTCTCATCCTGAAGCAAAGTTCTTAACCCGAGGTAATATTTCTGGGTTAGCGGAGTCTGTAACCTGAAGCGTCTGTAACCTGAGGTACCATTGTATCTTGCTCTCACAGTGGCCAGCAACACATGTCTCTGGGAAGCCCACGAGCAGGACCTGAGTGCGAAAGCTGCACTCTCCACTTGTACTTACCAGAAATTGACATTCAGAGGCATACTTCGGACAGTGGCAACAGCAAATAGCTGCAGTAGCCAATGATAGCCTTAAGTAGGTTAAAGAGTGCCATGCACCCTAGGCCAACCCCAACTTCTCTCACCACAAAAGGAACACAAGGAAACAGCAGAGAACCTGCACAAGCAACACTGACACAAAACCCTACATATAGTAAGTAAAATAGAAACATCGCCACCCGACCCCGACCCCATTCATCTTCCCCCCCACCTCTTTCCCCCATTCTTCTTAATGTCTCAACAAATGAAACCGATTTGTAAAAAAGAAAAGAAAAAAGTTTTACATGGAGAAAACAATACGAGAGAGAGACATTGCACATACCTGTGTAAATCAAGATAATCTTTAATAAAAGTACATTTTAAAAAACCAAAAAGTGTCATTCAATGCAAGAGGGATTCCAGCATGCAGGGGTAGGCAAACTAAGGTCCGGGGGCCGGATGCGGCCCAATCGCCTTCTCAGTCTTGCCCGCGGACGGTCCGGGAATCAGCATGTTTTGACATGAGTAGAATGTGTGCTTTTATTTAAAATGCATCTCTGGGTTATTTGTGGGGCATAGGAATTTGTTCATTTTCTTTTTCAAAATATAGTCCAGCCCCCCACATGGTCTGAGGGATGGTGGACCGGCCCACAGCTGAAAAAGGTTGTTGACCCCTGAACTATAGCCAGGAGGAACCAAGGGGGTCTTGGGGCCCAGAACAGTATGTGTGTATGATAAAGAAATTATGCCTCATCTAGATCTTAAGAGATAGAACTTGCTCGCACTACATGCCTGAGATGCCCTCGAGATATGCTTTCAACCTGAGTGCAGCAGTGTTCTGTTCCACGGGCAATTCCAAGCAACAAGGACTCCATCTCCACCACAGATTTAAAGCCCTGTCACACCACTCTGAACAGCCATGGCTCCCCTTCCCCCCCCCAAAAAAAAACAACAACCATGGGAACCACAGTTTGCTAAGGGTGCCGAGAAGAGAGAGACCCCTCTTCACAAAGCTACAATTCCCAGAGCTCTCTGAGAAGAGGGTTTGATTGTTAAGCCACTTTAGCTCTGGTAGAGGAACAGCGGTTCCCTAACCAATTCCAGCACCCTTAACAAACTACAGTTCCCAGAATTCTTTGGGAGAATAAAAGTCATATATGCTATTGTTTTAAATGTACCATGCAGGTGGGGCCCAGTATTCTGCTAAGCCTGGGGTCTTATCTTCCAAAGGCCCCAGGCCTAGCAGGAATTTCACATCCCCATCCCAGCCTGTCAATGGTTATTGGACTCTGCTTTGGCAATTCTCTTCAAAAGGAGCTAGTCTCTGCATAGTCTTGAAGCAGGGCTGAGGGTCTTAATATGGAACAGAGCGGATATTTTAACTTCCTGAAAAGGCACAAGGGACTGCTGCTACACTGCCGCCGCCACCCCCTCCCTCTCTCTAAGGGAACGAATCTACATTTGAAGCCTCTGGAGGAGAGCAGTTTTGTCAGAGAGGCTATCTTTCTCCTTCAAAAGGAGTTCCCAGCCTCCCTCAAGCATCCCTTTGGAAACCCTTAGCCTCCATCCCACCTCCAGAAACAAAGCCTTCCAGGTGTATAAATAGAAAGCAAAATAAGATGTGCTGGTTGGTTCACAAGGGAAAAGGGAGGGGAATCCAAAATCCACAGCTAGGAAAGTAGGACCAGCCAGAACGGCATAAAATAAGCTGGCATAAAATTCCAGAATGTGCTACAGCCAGTGCCGGATTTACGTATAAGCTAAACAAGCTATGGCTTAGGGCCCCACTCTCTTGGGGGCCCCAAAAAGAATTAAAGTGGGGGAACTGGGTGTACATTTCCAAAATATAAGATGAAAAACAAATAAAAGAAAACCTACATACAGCAACAGTGTTTTGTGTTGTGTAGGCTCCTATGATGTAAGTAATGGGCCCCGCCTGCTAGCCTGCTCCCTAAAATATCACTGGTTTGTTCATTTCTATATATAGGGTAAAGGTAAAGGGTTAAGGGACCCCTGACCACTAGGTCCAGTTGCGGATGACTCTGGGGTTGCGTGCTCATCTCGCTCTATAGGCCGAGGAGCCGACGTATGTCCGCAGACAGTTTTTCCGGGTCATGTGGCCAGCATGACTAAGCTGCTTCTGACGAACCAGAGCAGTGCACGGAAACACCGTTTACCTTCCTTATTTATCTACTTGCACTTTGACGTGCTTTCAAACTGCTAGGTGGACAGGAGGTGGGACCGAGCAATGGGAGCTCACCATGGGGATTCGAACCACCGACCTTCTGATTGGCAAGCCGCAATTTGTTGTTGACAAAGGACAGCTGGACATATAAAGGGCCCCATTACCTTCAGTAGCTTAAAGGTAAAGGTAAAGGGACCCCTGAGCGTTAGGTCCAGTCTCTGGGGTTACGGCGCTCATCTCGCTCTATAGGCCGAGGGAGCCGGTGTACAGCTTCCGGGTCATGTGGCCAGCATGACTAAGCCGCTTCTGGCGAATTAGAGCAGTGCACGGAAACGCCATTTACCTTCCCATCGGAGTGGTACCTACTTATCTACTTGCACTTTGACACGCCTCACCAAACCTAAATCCGGCCCTGGGTAAAGCATCTGTTTTGCATGTGGGTTCAATGCTGCTGCAAGTCAGTGTAGGCAGCCCTGAGCTACATGAGCAAATGCTTTGACTCAGGCAGAAGACACCTTCTCCTGCTCCTAACCTCAATCCAGCCTTTTCTTTCCCCCACATTGCTTTGCATTCAGTCTGACGATGTCACAACCTCTACATTCATCTACAGTCTTAAAATGGGAGTGTGAGGTTGAGAGATGGCCTCGAAGTCCTACAGTGCTCAACGGAACTTACCCACAAGGTATAGGACTTCTAGTTGGGGAGCAGTGTGGTGTAGTGGTTAGAGCGTCAAACGAGGAACGGGGAGACCCAGGTTCAAACCCCTTCTTTCAACAGTGAAGCTCGCTGCGTGTGACCTTGGGACACTCACCTATTTCTTAACCTAAGGATGAGGAACCTATGGCCAGGCAGATATTTATTTCATTCATATCCTAGAAGTGTGGATTTGGAAGGGACCACGAGGGTCATCTAGTCCAACCCCCTGCAGTGCAAGACTCTTTTGCCCAACGAATCCACAGCCCTGAGATTAAGAGTCTCCTGCTTTACCAACTGAGCTATCCCAGGGTCAATTTATTGCATTTATATACCATCCTTACCCCCAATAAACTCAAAGCGCCCCCCACTCCATTTTATCATCACAATAACCCTGTGAGGTAGACTAACACATGTGTGAGTGGCTAACTCAAAAGTCAGAGTGGGATCTGAACTCTGGTCTCTAGGATCCTAGTCTAGCACTCAAACCATGACACTAATCTGGCTCTCAGCATCTGGCCATTGAGTTACTTGAAGGGAAAGTGGGACACGGAAACTGGGTAACTGCTGGATTATTTATTTTCAAAAAGGGACCAGCAATTACTCCCCCACCCCACCCCCATTGACCTAGGTGCAACCTGAAACCTGCAGGACACCTAGTAATCTTCACCCAGTTACGATCACTATCTCCTGGTATACTCCATGTTAAGCTCATGGCTAGATCCTAGTCTTGTGGTTACAACATCATTAGAGCTTCTGCACCCCCTTTGCTTAACATCAGGCCCACTAGGAGTTCTGGAGAGCCTAAAAGCTGGCTGAAAGCTGGCAACATCCTAGCAAAATTCTGCACAGTATTCGCTTAACCTGCACCGAGTCGCTGCTACGTTCTCTCGCTTTTTTATTATTTTATTGTCTCTCTTCTTCCCCGTCCCCCCCCCCCCCTAATCTGCTTGAGGCAGGAACCTGCATTTTGCTTGTATACTTCATGCAAAACACATGCAGAAAAATAGGAATTCGTTTGTTAATAAAAACTAACAAACCTCAGCCACACCGTTCACAAGGAGCGCCGTGGAAGAGTTCTCCTTCCCACACCACAACCAAGTACAAGCAATTTTTATTATTATTATTTCGAACTAAGGTTCTCTGCCTGGACTATCACAGGAGTGCATCTGAGCACGTGCAAAGTCCCGCTGGAGGAGAGCCACGCCGCAGCGCAGCCCACAAGAGTTCCCATGTTAGAAATCAAGGCCTCTGCTGAAGCTTATCTAGGGCAAGAGGCGAACGCAACAAAATGCTTCAAAACAAACAAACAAGAACCCACGTGGAGGAAAGATAATTCAATTGGACCGGGGATGGAGATTAAGGGGTCTGTTTTTAGGTAGCCCCTCTTCTACGATGGATCAGTGGAACCCCCGCTATCTTTATTATTATTATTATTATTATTATTATTATTATTATTATTATTATTATTATTTATTATGTGCAATGAATGACTTATCCCATAATAGTTGGCAGCATCCTGGGAGAATGAGGAAGGCAGCTGAGCCGCTCAGCGCAGTCTTTGGTTTGTCCTTTGCAAAACCGCTTTTCATTTATTGATTTGATTTGTGAGCCGCCCTTCCTCGGAAGATCCCAGGGCGCTTCAGGTCAGGGCAGAAACGAATCGTTAAAACCAAAACAGCAAAACAATAACCACTGCTCGCTACTACCTCCCTACCCCGTTGCTGCCCGCGGTCCGATCCGAAGATTCCCCCTCTCCCGCCTCTCTTTTGCAGCCCCCCCCCCGGCATGTATCTCCCGGATTCATTTTACCTGGGAACTGCAGGCGACAGGAGAGTCCTTTTCCCGCACCTTTAACTTCTGCTGGCTCCCATCGCAGGAAGCAAGGGGTCCAGAGAGCAAATCTTCCTCTGTTTAGAAAGAAGATCGAAATCCAGCTGGAACCAGGAGAAGGAGCAGCAGCGAGACGCCTGGCCGCAATAGGGGTCAGAGGCATCTATAGTTCTTTAAAAGCTCTGCCCCACAACGGGGGGAGGCCGGCTGTAGAAGCGGCAGCCCCTGCCTTAGGGGTCAGCAGAGACCTCTGGTGGCAAAAGAAACCACCACTTGCCTCCAAGTCCAATGTAGGAAATAACACAGAATCACAGTATTGTTCAGTCGGAAGGGACCCCAAGGGTCATCCAGTCCAACCCGCATTGT